ACAACTCAATGGAGAGCTCCGTGACCGGTTCAATTCAAGGGATGGTCCACCAATAATGGAAAGGCCATTCCCCTCCCTATCCGTTTCTTGATCCCTCATTCCACGAATTCGTTGTTACTGATTCATTCAAGGACTGAAAGCTTTTCGTTTTATGAAAAGGCATAGACTCCCCACTTCTTTGTCTTATTAGCGCAAGTCTTCGTCAATGATGAAAGCCACTGAACTTCAGACTCGAGTTGAGAAAGAGGGCTAGGCCAAGGATATGAGGGCTTTCAGGGACTGGGGAAGACGGGTGGATTATAGAGCTAGGGGCAGATCAGAGGTTTTTCCATTGGGATTGGGAATGGACGAGCCTCGACTGGGCTAGCATTGATGAAAAAAAACTTATCCCATCGCATCATTAACCGGTGTAGGATTAAAGATCAGGTCCAAGATTCGAGTCAAATCGACCTTCCCTTTCATCTCAGGGTGAGGCAAGGTAGCTTGCTCGTTCGTTGTTCAATATCTCGGTTGCTCAATAAGTTGGACTAGTTGCTCCTCCGACCCGGAGTGGATTCTAGGGGAAGGGCAGAGCTTCACCTTGCAGTAAGTAGGAAGGTCTTCGTTGTTGGGACGGGTTCAAACTGGACTGAAGGGAGGAGGAATGAAAGACTCCGATCTTACTGGGGATTCATCACTGGCTAGGGCTTTCGAATCAAAGCATGGGTATCTGCAACTAAGAGGGAACAGTAGATCTTCGATTGAAGAGCCAGGTCAGTCAACTTCTATTGATTATTGATTCGACTAGAGGGACTCCTAGGAACTTGTAGTGGCCCCATGGAGATGCAGGAGCCGCCATCCGAGCCGGATCGACCAATAAATGATAGGCCTGAGGGATGGGCTCATTCGACTAATTAGTGATCCCTGGCCCTACCTAACAAAGATATTTCCCTAAACTAAAATAAGAGGGGATTGGTTGATCGGAAAGCTCGGGCAGGAGTAGAGTAGGACATTCCATAAAAATCTTTCTGATCCGCTAGCTCTCACTCCTTGCCCTATTAGGTCAAGCAACTTCACTCCTCTCAAATCCTATTTTTTCATCGACAGGTAGGGTTAATTCTAAGGTTCCTTATTCCGGTTGTTAAGCGGAATAAGAGGGGGAAAGAATGAGCACAGCTCCACCAGCAGCCCACGTTTTCGACCCGAAAGGAATGGAAAATGAAACAAGAATCTGTGTTCACTATCTATGGAGCGGAGTGACTATCCTTAATCTCCTCTTCCCTATCTCCCCCTTGCCTTTTTTTCTTTTTCTCACCTAAAGGTAGTTTACTTGCTTACTTGTTAGAGTCAGGAGAATCCATTTCTTTTTTTTATTGTTTATTATATTATGATTGATCTGTAGTTCAAGGGAACTCTTCCTAATCCGAGTTTAAGATGGAATAAGACCCAGACGTAGAGTCCCGTCGGCCGGTAAGGGATTTTTTCTATTTTTTTATTCCCTTCAGTCCTTACCTTTAAAAAAGGGATTCTTATCTTTCCCCACGAGGTCTTCAAGCCAGATGGAGTAGTGCATCTCTGTCTTGAAAGCCGCTTTACAGATAGGAGTTCCTATCTCTACTGCCTATCCAACCCGAAGATTCTTATTCGTGGTGGAGTGCTTCGAGTAGGATCCAACCCCATCCCAGCAGTATAAGTCCTTCCTGACCCGGCTCACCTGCCTCTGAAGCTGGAATTCCTTTCTAGAGGAGGCTACGCGAGGAATCGATAAGTTTGAAGTGGGATGTGGAATGTGTTTGGTGATGGATGGTGGTTATTAAATAAGTTCTGCATCAGATGATGAGCCCGTGCGAAAACTTTTTATTTTATTGGCGCCCGGCTATTCGATTGAGTTGAAAGCCTACAACGCATAAAGGTTCCGATTCGAGCGAGAGCCCAAACGGGGGAGGCGAGAACGTCTTGATCGAAAGCTCCACTGTTCTGAATAATGAGAAAGACTTTTCAAAATTTGATCAAATTGATCGAGAATCTTATCATCTGTTAGGTAGGCCAACCGACCGACCGAGTTTTGTTGGGCGTCCATGTCACAAAACCTTTCTTCTAGCCAAGAATCCCCATATTGATCGAATCGGGGCCAATTCATTGGCAAATGAAAAATCTACTGTTTTAACACTCAGAAAAAAAACCTAGAAAATAGAAAAGAAGAAGAGTAACTAAGACAAGAGCTAGGTAAGAAAGATGGAGAGGCTAGAAAAGGCGGGGCAATGGGCTCTCCATCTCTAGGAAGATTGTGTCTAGGATCTGGTAATCTAAGTTCTGGTCGGCTCGTATTAGCCTGTGCTTTATTACAGGTAGTAATTCCCCTCGTTCCTTTAGTCTTTTCATCGGGACTTGAATCTTAAGTCGTGGTCATGTCTCGCCCCCCCAGTATAGTGACCGATTCCATGCTTTTGGGACGCGGAATACCCGGAGACTTGCTGAAAGGACAAAGAACTTCCAGTAGCTGCTATTAGACCTTACTTGCCCAATCACAAGTCCTACTAAGAGGTGAACTGACCGAGCCGTCAGGTTTGAGGGTATAAAGGACACTGCAAGGAGATAGATGGAGACATGAGACTGATTTCTGAAAAAAGAAGAATATTTATTTATGGTAAGAATATAGCCCCTAGTACGACAAACAGGCAGACAGCTAGACTTTTGATTAGAGGTTAAAGGGAGAACTGCGAGGAGAATCGAGATTGGCGCTTAGAATGCAATGTTAGGGCTATTTGTACAGATAGACATAGGGGTAGATTGCTTGTACGAAGATAAATAAAGGAATATAATTGTTATGGCGTTAGGAACGAGTCCACACTTGGTTCCGAACAAATGACTAGAATTCGTTGAGCCAGTGGCGGAAGGATAAGGGAGAAGAGCAATAAGCTACTTGAATCTTAGAAAGAGGAGATCCCTGGTGAGGACACAATTAAGACCAGATAGCCGAATCAGAGAGATATGCACCTTGAATTTGGAAACCCTCGAAAAAGTGGTTAGAACAGATGCTTTCCCCACCTATGACTTAGACCGGGCATTTCAGTGCTTGGTAGTAGCGCATACCAGGACGAGAGGTTATGGCCCCTTTTGGATAGTGGAAAAATTGTACCGAACGAGACCTGCTGACGTTGTTTATTTTGGGTGAACTTAAACTTAACTTTTAATTAGCTCAATCAAAATGCCTATCTACGCAGAGAGCATGCCCTCCTTCAAGACTTAAGACAAGGGAAAGAAAGAGAAGACAGATGCCGACACACTTTTTTGAGATGAGCTAAGGATGCCTAACGAGCAGACGAGGAAATGCAGTAGCGGAAAGGAATGGACCACTAATGGACAATGGTCCCGCGAACGAGACCCGAATACTGACTGCGTAGGCGAAAAGAACCTCGTGACTAAGACTGACTTGACGAAGCTATACTTTGGCCCATTGACAAGAACGGAAATAACCAATAAACTGTAACAGATTGCAGCATGGGGAAGGAAGTAGAAAATAGAAGCGACTGTTTAAAGTTTGCCGACTTAAGGCTGAAGATAAAGTATATATCCATTTCATGACTTTTGATTAGAGTAGGTTTAGGAGAGGACTAGGAGACTGAGATGCCTTTGAGGAGCGTTTAGGGCGATGAGAAGGCCGCGAGGACGTCAGGCGAAAGGTAATTTTTCTAAGTGAGGTAGCCTGCCCCATATCCTCGCTGCATGGGCGTCCTTGTAGAAAGGAACTCAACTCAAAACGAACCGAAAACAACTTCTTAATGCTTTGGCCGCTGAAGAGGAAGAACAAGAGTCTGGTTGCGCTTTGGGGCTACTTCCCCTACCACTGTTAAATAGAATCCTCCTCCCTTAATAGTAAGCAGGATGGCTTCTCCCAATAGAATGCCTTAACTGATGAGTGACGAAGGTAGCTAACCTCCATCGCATTATCCAAGAAGCCCTCTTTTCCGAGTCTAGAAAGCAGCTAATTGAAAAGGATGAGCTAGTTAATTTAATTAGCCAAGAAAGACTAAGAAGAATGATGGATTGGGAATTCTCGGACTAAACCCCGTAATCTTCCTGCCTCTGGTCGAGCTAATCGACGGTAGCGAGCAGAAGAAGAAGTGAAGCTACAACAGTCCCCTTCCTTCTTATATACGTAAGACATAGAAGAGAGTTCATCTAGCTTTCCGTAACAGGCTACTAACTACGACTTTGCTTCCACAGCACGTCAAAGGTCTTCGTCAGGTGTCAGAATCACATTTTGATTGTGGTCTATGAACTCAATACCAGATAAAGAAGAAGCAGCTAACAACTGAAAGAATAGAGGGAAGGTAGCATTTCACACTTCTCTCTTCGTCATTCTAAAGCAAGGAATGAAGTAGCCCGTATAGCAAGAAGGAAGGGTATAGGAAATGCAATGAACTTCATCGTAATAGATAGATCAGAATTTAATGCGTCGAACTCGTATATTTAGAGTGACCCCACTATGCCTACTCTACTAATGACGGCATCTAATTAATAATATCGTCATAAATAGTAGGCACAATGCTAATTCCACTCCATTATGAGCTTTCCTAATTCTCCCAGTTGTGCCTCATTCTCCTAGGAATTCTAATGACGGCTACGATACAAAGGAAGCCGAAGAAGAGCTAGCAACTGTCATACTATAATAAAGGAAGTCGCAGCTAGATCCAGGTTAATCTAACTCATGTGCTATTAACTCAATTCTTAAATCATAGGTAGCTACTTCCTTCCAACTTAAGGCATCTGACGCTCAATTATTATTGTTGTTGTCAAGTCTTGGACTCTGTTAAAATAGGAATCTGTAAAGTGTTCCATCAACTAAATACCCTGCTGCTTCTCAATTCCTGATTAAATAAGTGCCAGAGGAATTCGGATTAAAGAAAGTCTCGTAGGAAAGGGAGCCAATGATAGATGATTTGAAATAGCATAATTGAAAGAAAGATTGTCTCAATATCAAGGCAAGTCGGAGGCGAGTAATTGAATAAATCCCTTCCATGGATTTTCCGGAAGAGTCACTCGCCATAACAGGGGAAGGGAATTCAGAACTCAATCACCAAGTGGACCTTCCCATTGTCTATGCCTACAACAAAGGAAGAGGTGAGCTACCAACTCGTCACCTCCCCTCTCGTTCCACTTATGTTTGTTCTTTCATTGTAAAGTGTCGGACTCTGGTCTTTTTGGAACATGAAAGTGTTCCGTGAGTGAGATTTCCCCTCTCTTCTTTAATCTTTTCTTCCCAAAGCTCACTAATTTAGTGATAGAGGCTCTAATGCTGCTAGCGACAGGTAGGTACTAGGAAGAGTTGACGGTATGAAATTTATCGACCTATAGCGAAAAAATAATAAGAGAAGAAAGCTGCTAGTAGAGGGTGGAGAAGTCGTCTGGTTATCAAAATTATGTATAGAAAGAAGATTCGTCTTGCCGGTAAATGCTTTAGAATGAACCTTGTTCTCTATCCGCTAGCACGCAGACAATAACTAGGACAAATTTATGGCAAAGTAAGTGTGCATCGAAGGTAAATAAACTCGAGTCATAACATTTCTACTAGTGCTTAGGTGGGCTCATTCCAAATTAAAAAAAAAGTGCTTAGTTTCGTTGGAAAAACCAACGCAAATATTGACTTTCAAGTCTCTCTTTGTACAACCAATGAAAATATTGACTTTCAAGTCTCTCTTTTCACAATAAGACCTGGACGATTATCCCTACCCTCGGTAGCTTACGAGTTTACATCCATCCCTGGTTGGGTACAGTTTCCTTTCGATTTTTCCCTTGTATTCGTTACCCGAATTCGCGCAAGTGTGTCCACACCCCCCAAACTGACTTGACGAGGAATCCATTCTCGCGAACAAACACAACCCCTACACACACCTAGGAGCACCCCTTCCTGCATATCCATACAAGACCCGAGTAGGCAGGTCGAGGTCCTACGAGGTACCCACTATTCGGAGTACCCTCCCAAAAGGAAAAAGATGTGTCTGTCAGGTTCGGTTCGTCTTAGTTGGGTTGGGCGGGTTCGACCAGAAATGCTATGCTTACGCACAAGACTACCCCTCTTCCCGAAAGCTTCGCGGGGACTACTTTACGATGGGCGACCGCCCGTAGGGGGTTTACTGCACAAGGCCCCTGCAGAGGAAAAGCTTTATCCCAACGAATAGAAGATGCTCAGCTCCGCACAACATAGGGATTAGCACGCTTTTGGGAAGAACATAGAATAGTAGAGGATCCAGCATGCGGAACACGACGATCATTAGAAATTCACGAATTAGAGATGCTGTAATATACTCTTTCCCATAACTTCTCATACCAGACCAACCCACTAAAATACAAATAGGGATAAGAAATGTGGTCAATATCACGAAGAAAAAAGAGAGACCGTCTATACCCAAATTAAAATTGATGTTTTCATAAGGAAGCCATCGAAGGCTTTCCACAAATTGAGATTTGGCCGTAGAAGGATCAAATTGTATCTGAGGAACAGGGGAATACAAAAAAGTAATAAGAGAGGCACAGAGACCAATCAATCATATCGGTCGTATTCTTGAATTTGGAATGAAAAGAGGAATAATGCTTCCTAGCACGGGACACAGAATAGGACCACTTAGATCAGAATAGCATTCACAGAAATGTTCTAACATAGAGTAGAATCGAACATTGAAGAGATTAGTTGACAACAGTCAAAAGATGGGCGCCTAATTCCAATACAATAGGGGTCTATCAGTGCAAGTCAGCTGAACATCGTGATTGATGAGTGGGTAGGTGGGTTAGGTGCGCCTCTCGTCCAGTGGGAAGTCTTGAGGCGAGTCTCCTCCCCCCTTCCTTTTTTTACTTTTCCTCTCTCCTTTTGCTTGTGCTTCTACCCGGGCTTTTCATTTTTATAGATTTTGAGAGACCCGAGGATATTTTTATAAGATTCATTGCTCAATTTTGCATGCTCTTCTCCCAAAATGCAGAGAGACTTTCGAGGGAAGATCCGGGTTGGTCCGGGGAGAGGCGGGCTAAGTGAAAGAAAATAAAGAATATGAATATAAATGGAGCTAAGTCGACTTACGTACGTCTCGTTGACCAAAAGATCGGGTATACCACGCCACGTATCATCCCCTCTTTCTATAGAGGAGAGATAAAGAAAAATAAAAGAGATAGCGATCGTGCCGTAAGACCTTGTTCGTTTCTACTTGACGTTATTTTCCTCGGTTTTTTTATTTGACATTAAGGCCTTTAGTTTTAGTAGGTTTGGGCTAGGTCGTTGCGCTCCTGCCACGTCTTGGCAAAGTAGGCTGATGGGCAAGCCTCCTCCTGCCGCAATGGTGTGGGGCGTCAGAGGCTGTTGCCCCGTCGCCAACTCTAAGGGGCCGAAGTTCGACGCAGAGCTTTTTGGTTATTAATTTATAGCAGCACTGAGCAACATCCAACAGCTCTAGTCCTTCTGGTTGGTTTGCTTGCACTAAAGTGCCTTAAGTAGCCCTCGAGGAGTCCGTTTATATCCGTATGAGCTTTCAAAGATATACCGACCGTAGGTATCTTACTTACCATCAGATACCGAAAATCGTCTTCTAACATTACCGACCTTCAAATATAGGGTTTTCATCATCAGAAACAACTCGAATTCCGATACCTCTTGCATTGCATTACCATAACGAAAAAAAGAGATAAATTGCTCTTGTGACTCGGAATGAACCTTTATCGGTGGAAGAAAGGAATAGCGATGGATTCCTATGAAGCATTCAGGAACAATAAGATTCAATCGGACGACGAATTCATACGTGGTCCAAGGAAATCAAAGGTCCGCTTCCACGATTTCATCTATATAGAATCTTAATATAAGAATAGCTTATATAGTCATGATTCAATTCAGGTCCACTGACTTTTGATTGATTTATCTTCGAATCTGATTGGAACATTTGAGAAGTAGGAAGACTTTGGCGGGCAATTCATAATTGGTATCTAGAATATATATGTCTTAGGACATAAAATATGAATAATTAAGAGAAATTAAAGATAATATATATCTAATCTAAGAATTTATAGGCTGTACACCTAATTTTTTTTCCTACGATTGTAGTTCAATCGGTCAGAGCACCGCCCTCTCAAGCAACAAGTACTTTTTATCCCTTCACATTCAAGTAAAGTATTGGGAAGGTATCTAGCCAGTGAGGCAAGTTAAGTAAGGAAATAAGGAAAGCGGCTGAAGCAAGGTGCCTAAGCCTTCAAGTTGCGAGGTCTTTTAGGGTTAGATATACTTGTAATCAGTTAGAAGAACTCGGAGTCTAAGATGGTAACAAGAGAGAACTAAGTGCAATACGTACAACCTACTAGTGACTAATTCCCCCCGGCGTCTTATTCCTGTTATCCCAGTAGTAATTGAGCAGGGTGAGGAGTAAATTTCTCTTCTTTCTTTTCTCATTAAACTATTATATATGAAATGGTGTAATTATGGATCTCATTCGTATTCAAGTGGTTTGCACTAATAGTTGCTCGAAATGGATAGCTTTGTTTCCAGGAATTCGAGGATACTGCCAATCTTGCGCTTCAACCAACCGTATGCTCTTTCATGATGAGGTCGAAGCCCTGCTAGCGAAGGAATGCATCCAACAGTGTTCTGTCTCATTGGTCCTATCATGCCAAAATTTGCTCATAAATCCACTTTGTTCTCCCGGAAATAACTTTTTTTATAAAACATTACTTATGTGACTTCGATCTGATACCTATCGATTCAGAGAGGAAATACGCATTTGTATCATTTTGACTCTCCCCATCTCGAATTCTACTAATTTGATATGGGGTTGTTTGTGAAGGGAAGCTTTGTGGGAGAAAGGAGGAAAAGGTCAGGCTAGTCAAGGCTTTACTCAAACATATGGGATAGATTACGAGAAAGCCTTTGCCCTGATAGCCAAGATGAAGTCTGTTCGTCTCCTGCTCTCTATTGCTGCGAATCGAGATTGGCCTATGTTCCAATTATATGTTAAAAATGCCTTCCTGAACGGGGACCTACAGGAAAAAGTTTACATGAGTCCTCCACCCGGTTGTGTAAGGGGGGGGGGGGGGAGAACAATAGAGGTCAACTGGAGTGGAAGCCAAACGACGGGGCCGAGAATCTGTGATCGATCCGAAGAACCACTGCCAGATACGATTCTGCTTCCCCTTCGTACTACCCGATTATTGCCCGGCTTTCTTTCGGCTTAAGTAAGAAGGCTGCGGTGAGAATGAGGATCACTTCGGAACTCTAGGAAAATGGGCGTTTTAGGGCGGGATCTAAAAGATATCCAACGTGTTGCAGAGCCTTCGGCCGTGAGAGGGTCTTTTGGCTTCCTCAGGGTTGTGTGAAGCTTAGCTTGCTTTAGCAGCCACGTGATGATTAAAGATTCGTGGTAGGCGTAGGAGCTGGGCGAAGCGGTAGCGAAGCCCAGGTGGTGATGCAAGTGTGCGGTGAGCGTAGTAACCCCCTCGGGCATGCTCTTTGTACAACCAAGCGAAGAGCTAGTGAGGGCCGAAATGGAATATCGTATGTAGTGTAGAATCGGATCTTAAGCTCTTTACTAGGATTGGAACAAGCGAGGAACGAGTGACCACAAGCTCCGCTTAAGCGCTCGACATGCAGTTAGCTTAAAACATGTTAATCATGTGGCCGAGCGAAGCGCACCTGCGTGATGCAGCCTAGCATCACTTTAGATAGGAGCAAAATGGATGACTTACAACTGAAAGTAAGTTCTTCGGGTCGATATATCATACGACGTAATAGAGATCTTGGTCTAGGTCCGGTGGTTCGCAGAATTCGGGACCTAACGATGTTTGATTCGTCACATGAACGGGAGCGGACGATTCCCTCGTCTCTCCCTTTTTCGGGGAATGGCTGCAAGCAATCACAAGCAAGTGATTGAATGAGTGGGGGGCTCCGAAAGCACATGCGGGATAAGCAGGTCTTTCAGGAGACGGTCTAAGGGTCCGGTCTAGAAAGAAAAGATAACTCTCAACAAACTAGAACTAATCAAGATCAGTAGGAAGAGGAGTTAGCTATAAATTAATTATTTTGACAAAGTTCATGCCACGACGATCTATATGGAAGGGCTGTTTTGTTGATGCATTCCTGTTGAAGTTGAAAAAGAGACAAACACTCATGTTTCAGCTCCCGGATCTGCTTGGATTATCGTATAATAAGAGGAGCCCTCTTAGGAAATGACTGAACTGAAAAGACAGATGCCACCGCTGCGAGGGAGTCACTTGTCTTATCTTGCGGTGCACTCACTCCCGTTACGAGAATGAAATGACGCCCAGCTCGACTCGAGACCAAGACTCCTTCCTTACAACTCGCACCAATAGCGGCCGGCACTAAGCGGCCGGAGATTTATTGAAAAGGCAGCCGCCCCTCCCCCCCCCCCCCCCCCCTCCCCCTAGCCGCCTACCTACTCGTGCTCGTATCTCGATCGGAGGTTAAGAGTTTGGTCCGGCAGAAAAACAGAAGTCGTCAGTATCAAGTGATACGTTAATTGCTCAGTAGTGCTTCGCCACTACCGTAGCTGGCAGAAATAGCTTAATGGTAGAGCATAGCCTTGCCAAGGCTGAGGTTGAGGGTTCAAGTCCCTCCTTCCGCTCTTGGCTTCGTCGTTTAGTGGTAACGAGTAGAGTAGGCATCGCCTCTCGATCCAATCCGTCTTTCCCAGGCCTCCCCAACACACTCTTGATACGAAAGAAACCTCCCGCCATATAATAGAGAAGAAAGAGATCTAAAGTCTGGGTCCCCTCGATAACCCTTCCCTTGAACCTGAACTGGTCGAGAGAGATGAACTCGCACCACATTTGATAACCTTCGAACTTAAACCCCCAACTAGAGATGGAATTCCAGAACCTAAACAACTCAATGGAGAGCTCTGTGACCGGTTCAATTCAAGGGATGGTCCACCAATAATGGAAAGGCCATTCCCCTCCTTATCCGTTTCTTGATCCCTCATTCCATTAATTCGTTGTTACTAATTCATTCAAGGACTGAAATCTTTTCATTTTCTGAAAAGGCATAGACTCCCCACTTCTTTGTCTTATTAGCGCAGGTCTTCGTCAATGATGAAAGCCGCTAAACTTCAGACTCGAGTTGAGAAAGAGGGCTAGGCCAAGGATAGGAGGGCTTTCAGGGACTGGGGAAGACGGGTGGATTATAGAGCTAGGGGCAGATCAGAGGTTTTTCCATTGGGATTGGGGATGGACGAGCCTCGACTGGGCCAGCATTGATGAAATTTTTTTTTATTCCATCGCATTATTAACCGGTGTAGGATTAAAGATCAGGTCCAGGATTCGAGTCAAATCGACCTTCCCTCTCATCTCAGGGTGAGGCAAGGTAGCTTGCTCGTTCGTTGTTCAATATCTCGGCTGCTCAATAAGTTGGACTAGCTGCTCCTCCGACCCGAAGTGGATTCTAGAGGAAGGGAAGAGCCTCACCTTGCAGTAAGTAGGAAGGTCTTCGTTGCTGGGACGGGTTCAAACTGGACTGAAGGGAGGAGGAATGAAAGACTCTGATCTTACTGGGGATTCATCACTGGCTAGGGCTTTCGAATCAAAGCATGGGTATCTGCAACTAAGAGGGAACAGTAGATCTTCGATTGAAGAGCCAGGTCAGTCAACTTCTATTGATTATTGATTCGACTAGAGGGACTCCTAGGAACTTGTAGGGGCCCCATGGAGATGCAGGAGCCGCCATCCGAGCCGGATCGACCAATAAATGATAGGCCTGAGGGATGGGCTCATTCGACTAATTAGTGATCCCTGGCCCTACCTAACAAAGAGATGTCCCTAAACTAAAATAAGAGGGGATTGGTTGATCGGAAAGCTCGGGCAGGAGTAGAGTAGGACATTCCATAAAAATCTTTTTGATTCGCTAGCTCTCACTCTTTGCCCTATTAGGTCAAGCAACTTCACTCCTCTTAAATCCTATTTTTTCATCGACAGGTAGGGTTAATTCTAAGGTTCCTTATTTCGGTTGTCAAGCGGAATAAGAGGGAGAAAGAATGGGCACAGCCCCACCAGCAGCCCGCGTTTTCGACCCGAAAGGAATGGAAAATGAAACAAGAATCTGTGTTCACTATCTATGGAGCGGAGTGACTATCCTTAATCTCCTCTTCCCTATCTCCCCCATGCCTTTTTTTTCTTTTTCTCGCATAAAGGTAGTTTACTTGCTTACTTGTTAGAGTCAGGAGAATCCATTTCTTTTTTTTATTGTTTATTATATTATGATTGATCTGTAGTTCAAGGGCACTCTTCCTAATCCGAGTTTAAGATGGAATAAGACCCAGACGTAGAGTCCCGTCGATCGGTGAGGGATTTTTTCTATTTTTTTATTCCCTTCAGTCCTTACCTTTAAAAAAGGGATTCTTATCTTTCCCCACGAGGTCTTCAAGCCAGATGGAGTAGTGCATCTCTGTCTTGAAAGCCGCCCTACAGATAGGAGTTCCTATCTCTACTGCCTATCCAACCCGAAGATTCTTATTCGTGGTGGAGTGCTTCGAGTAGGATCCGACCCCATCCCAGCAGTATAAGTCCTTCCTGACCCGGCTCACCTGCCTCTGAAGCTGGAATGCCTTTCTAGAGGAGGCTACCCGAGGAATCGATAAGTTTGAAGTGGGATGTGGAATGTGATTGGTGATGGATGGTGGTTATTAAATAAGTTCTGCATCAGATGATGAGCCCGTGCGAAAACTTTTTATTTTATTGGCGCCCGGCTATTCGATTGAGTCGAAAGCCTACCAACGCATAAAGGTTCCGATTCGAGCGAGAGCCCAAATGGGGGAGGCGAGAACGTCTTGATCAAAAGCTCCACTGTTCTGAATAATGAGAAAGACTTTTCAAAATTCGATCAAATCGATCGAGAATCTTATCATCTGTTAGGTAGGCCAACCGACCGACCGAGTTTTGTTGGGCGTCCATGTCACAGAACCTTTCTTCTAGCCAAGAATCCCCATATTGATCGAATCGGGGCCAATTCATTGGCAAATGAAAAATCTACTGTTTTAACACTCAGAAAAAAACCTAGAAAATAGAAAAGAAGAAGAGTAACTAAGACAAGAGCTAGGTAAGCAAGATGGAGAGGCTAGAAAAGGCGGGGCAAGGGGCTTTCCATCTCTAGGAGATTGTGTCCAAGATCTGGTAATCTAAGTTCTGGTCGGCTCGTATTAGCCTGTGCTTTATTACAGGTAGTAATTCCCCCCGTTCCTTTAGTCTTTTCAACGGTACTTGAATCTTAAGTCACGGTCATGTCTCGCCCCCCCAGTATAGTGACCGATTCCATGTTTCCCCCGAATTTCATCAGTTCCAGGCTTTCCTCTCCCAGCAAGAGGATGCGCGAACCTCCAAGTAAAGCGCGCTAGCGCGCTTAACCAAGGCTTTCTCCGATAGGGGCTCGCCGTTGCTTGTTTGGGTCGAGCGGCTTCAAACCTCCGCTCATCCATCTTAATTCCTAAGGCAAACATTTCAATTGAGTGACTGTAACTGCTATGGTTTACAGTCAATAGTTCTTAACCAACCCTTTCTCGTCGAGCTTTATAAAGCTTTAAGAGAGAAGAGTAAGGGGGACCTTCTTTTTCTCCAGCGGAGCCCCTCAGAAAGTAACAGGCAGCCGGTAGCTCTACTAAGCGAAGAACCGCTCACTGCCTTTTCTTCGCGAATAACATGTGCAGGGAGCCGCCTAGGAGAAGAGAAGCAAGCTACCTTCCATCTATATCTATAGGCGACAATGGTAAGAGCTGGTAATAATTGTCACTGTATCGACGGCCGGTGCTCCGCGTTCTATCTAGGTTCCGCTCTTACGTACGCCCCACCTCACATATAATAAGGGGAACCCCTTCCATAGAAGAACCCGTGTGGGTGAGAGGGGATTGAATCATTCATTCATCAGATACGTCTTCTTCTGTGATCCATTTCATGTCAACTCTAATTAGTCATCAAAAGGCCTACTTTACAAACAAAGGGAAGGTCGTTTCCCGGGAACCTTGCAACCTTGCGGTTCCCGGTAACCGGCCGCATCGGCCCGGTAACCTTCGTTACCATCGGTTCCCGCAACCAAGCCTTTTGATTATGTCTTTATTTCTGAAGGGCTTGCGGTTCATTACACCAAAGGCTTTCAGTAAACTATTGAAGCTATCGAGAGAGTACCAAATGCTGACGAAGGTTACCGACTTTCGGTGGACACGAAGCCAAGGAGTCTTTCAGTAAGTGGGAGTTAAGCGTAACGAGTCTAAGGTTACAGAAGCGTTCGCCAACTTTGATAGGTAAATGCTTTGCAAGCAAATAGAGCAGAGAGCTTACCGTCTGTTTCTATTAGAGTCGCGAGCTTGTTGTAGTCGGTCCGTGAAGGGAGAACTTGTTGCTTACTTGCTATATCCCCACGTTCTTGCACGGCTCGTTCTTCGAGCCCTGCTTCTCCCTTCCCCCTCTCCCCGTTCGTTCTACCGTCCAAAAGCCGTATGGAGTATAGCCAAGTGGTAAGGCATCGGTTTTTGGTACCGGCATGCAAAGGTTCGAATCCTTTTAATCCAGATTATGAACACCCGATCGGATCTGTCAAGAACAAGCTGACGACTACTAGGGAAGCGGCTGATTGCAGTCCCTAAGCCCAGCCCAGGAGGAATGCACGGTTCCCTGGCGCTTCATGGGACGGGCGTTCGCAGTCCCCCTCCCTCTAATCTAACCCTCCCCCGCTCCCCATACGAATTGGAACTATGATCCCCTAGAGCAAAACGCTTTTGATACACTTTTGAATGCTGTCACCGAAAGTGTTAAAAAACTGACGGTAACACATAATTTTCCCAGCCGGAAAACTGGACATATTCAAAAAGAGTCGAGCAGGTCATTCATTGAGGATCCGACGGATCTACGTTATATGATATTTATTCTGATATTACAGAGTATGGCTTTTCCAGTAAATACTTTCACGAGGCATTAAATATCCTCTATTCTATTGGGGTGCCGGGGGTTGGTGGATAAAGATGGACAGTCAGGATTGCGTAATATCAATTTTTCGGCCTCGCTTAGGTTCCTATCGATTCTCCCCGGATTTTTGGATCACCTTTTGTAGCGATAAAAAATGTAGCGGGGTAAATCGGAGATCGAATTATTGATTAATTCGTCTCTCAAAAGCAAGAGTCGCCACCGCGCTTTATTATTTCCAAGGGAAAAGGGAAAAGAGCGAAATAAAACCCTAAATATGCAATGTAAAATAATACTTTTTTAAAAGTAATGAAATACAAGGCGTTTTTTTTTAAAAGAGATCTATGGTTCGGGAGTTGGTTATACAATGGGAAGGTATTAGCACCCAATGCATCTATAGTACTCTATAGGAACCTTTTGAAATATCTGTTTATTAAAATGTTCGTTTGATTAAAACTAAATCGTTTTGGCCGAAAAAAGGGGTATGGACGGTTTTTTTGACGATGCGACGACCTAATGTCGAAGTTTTTGCTTAAAAGGGTATAAGTTTTGAAAAGATTGAATATTTGAGAAAAATTGTCCTAAGTTTTTAATGAAATGCGAATGTTCGCGCGATTGGATTTGAGGACATGAAGTCAACAAATTTATCGTTTTTCCCTTGGATTTAAACGTAAACAGAATAAACAAGTACGATGAAATAATTGACAGAATATTATGCGGATAATGACTAAATAACAACAGTTAAATAAATGACCAAATGGTGTAAATATGCATTTTTGGATTTTTGTTTAACC